GCGGGGGGGGGCCGCCCACCCGTCGCCCCCCCCTCCCCGCGGGGTCGCCGGCGGGAGAGAGCCGTACCCGGCTGGCGGGGGCGGGGGGGGGGACATGGCTGACCGGAGCGCGCCGAGCTGCCACCTGCGGCTGGAGTGGGTCTACGGTTACCGGGGTCACCAGTGCCGCAACAACCTCTACTACACGGCGGCCAAGGAGATCGTCTACTTCGTGGCGGGGGTCGGCGTGGTCTACAGCCCCCGGGAGCACCGGCAGAAATTCTACCTGGGGCACCAGGACGACATCATCAGGTACCGCCGCCGCCGCGGGCCGCATCCCGCCTCGGGCCCCGGCCCCACGGCCCGCCTCGTCCCCCTCCCGCTTCCCCGGGAGCGAGTGTTATCGCCCCCCGCCACCTCCGCCGCCTGGCCCCAGGTGCCGTCCCGGGCCGCCTCCCGCGTCCGGTCAGCGCGGTGGGGATCCGGGGAGCGGGTCGAGATCCATCAAGGACAGTCAGCGCTTCCTCATCCCCCCTTCCTCCCCCCCGCCTGGGCTTCGCCGTGGGTAGAAACAGTCTGGAAAAGGGGTTTAACGGGCCGTGGGGTGCGGGTGTCCCTCCCGCCGCCACCGGTGCGCGGGGCCGAAACTCGGTAGGGGCGGTGGTGCCGGGGTCGCTGCTCGGTCCCCGGCCGGCCCTGAATGTCAAAGGGGCGGCCGGGAGGAGGAGAAGGAGTAAATCTCGTGTGTGCCCCGATCAGCTCGGGCTGCGGAGGAGGTTAATCTGCGGCAGGTAGACCTTTGGCTCACGTTTAAAAGGCGGCTATTAGGTGGGGGAATTAGCGGCCTGCCTGTAGCTCCTGCAACTTTTAGGGTAATCTCGAAAGGTCAGCCTTTCTTGCGAAATTGAGGTTTCTCCCGTGGAAGCTCAGTAGTTCGCTTGGCCGGTAACGTTACCAGGTGCTGAAGTTCATAAAAAATTATAAAATGGTGTTGCGGAAGAAATGCGCTGGTGTTCTTCAATGTATTTTCACCCTAAGGATGCTGTTACAAGCCCAGGGGTGGTGTGAGAGCAATGAGAGAATTTGAGGAGTATGAAGGGCAGATGTGAGCCTGAGTCATCAATCCTTTCCCTTCCAGTAGGTGTCATTGCGGATGGTTTTTAAATTCTGATTTCCTTTGCTCTTCCTGTTGGGGTAAGAGCTAGCAGTAGACAATTTTGTAGGTAGTTTACAGCACAGAATTTGTTTTTCTGGTGCTTGGTGCTCCAAGGCATCCTGTCTGTACGTGTTACTCATATGAGTAACAGGTATTGCTCGTGGAGAGCTGGATAGGTGCTGTGTCTTTCATTTAAGCTTTTAGACATAGTAGAAAACTTGGTCATAGTGGCCACTATTTTTTCTTTGTTTAAATCTTCTAGAAGAAATTTAAGTCGTTTTGAAGTATGGCTATGAATGTCCCTTAGAAGAGTGTCACGTCTGTAGTATGTTTCTCCTTGGTGCTAAAAATGTGAAGAAAAAAGTAGGCAGACAATGTACCGTTATAGACCGTTGTACTAGGGGTGTGAATCACAAGTTTGAATCACTGTTATTTGCATCATTTAATGCTTTGACGTTCTGATTTTAATCCAGGAAAAAGTGTTTCTTGAGAACTGCTGGCCATCTCTGTTACCAGTGTTGCAGGAAATCCAGATCGGCAATTTCCCGTTGTGCTAAGGAAGTGGTGGCTCATTACTTGCTCTAAAGTTCAGTGTTGCAGTAGTGTAATACTATGTATTCATCATACCATGTATTCATAAGCGCTTCCCAATGGCACCATTTGTTTCAGTAGGACTTCTTGTAGTAAAAGATTTGTTGTTTGAACTACAACCGTGGAAGTTGTTTATGTTTTTCTTGTGGTAACAGTTTTTTTGCTCACTCTCTCTCCGTTTTGGTACAATGTGCTACATTTGGCCAAAATGTGACAGAACTCGTTGTTCAGAATAGTACTAAACAAACAAACAAAAAAATCTGTCAAAAGTCAGCGAAACAGAGAGAAAGAATGTAATGACTTTTTCTGGTTTATATGGGGATGTACTTTGATATGTATGGTACCATGACCTGGCATACAGAAGTTTCTCCTGCTTTGAATTCTACTGGTGTTGAGAAAATGTGATTCTAAAGATGTTAAAGCATTACATTTTATGCAGTTAGAATTTTGCATGCTTCTTAAATGCAAAAGCTATCCAGAAAGGCTAGTATGCTTAAAAAATGCTTGATTTAAAAGTAGGATGGCTGTTTCTAATAGTAAGATTAGGCTTGCAGTGACCAATGTTTCACTTGCTGCTTTTTCTAAAAGCAACCTGGTACCATTTAAATGTCACTGTTCTGTACTTCTCCTGACTAAACTTGGGTACCTAGACATGTTAGTTCTCAATATTTAAAGCAGTCATAGTAGGAAAGTCAAGTATTAAAAATGGATTTTTAAAATATCAGAAAACAGGAGCAAAAAAGGGGTTATATAATACAGTAATATAACACAGTGTTACTAAATTTTCTCTCTGAAGGTAGCAAACTCAACTGTTGTATTGCAAAAAAAATCATATCTTCTCTGTTTTAATCGGCTCATCAAGTACCATCCAAAAGCTGAGGCGTTTGTGATGTTTTAGTGAAAGCAAGGGGAGGACTGAGTGTCGTTTTACAAGTATGGGATGGCATTTGTGAAAATAGGTCTGGTGTCTGAAAATCTTATATATTTAAAGAATCAAACTTCCATGAGCACAGCTCCATAGCTACAAAGACTAAGCATTATATGTTGCATGCTACGTGGTGATATTATTAGTACTCTTCATTATGAGGACTTTTATATCATTAGCATGCTTTGGATGACAATCTAATTTTAAGCATCAGTCAGGAAAAGAGGTAGTGCAATTCTTAAGTCAGAAACCAGAAGATAGTATTAGATTAACGGACAGCTAGAGGATATTTTCCTTTGGATAATTTTTTTCTAGCACTAGCAGTTAGTTTGTCTTCTGCTCTGAAGTATTACCTCCTTTTATTAAACAAAAACCTATAAACTTGCTGTAAGATTTTCTTTTTATGTGATTAGATGTTTTAATGTAATTTATTTCCAATATAAATGTCTAATCTCAATTTTAATCACAGTGTCCACACCCCCCACCTCCCCAGTCTCAGTTAACTGTGTACTGAAAAAATGAGAGCTCTCTCCTTCAGGGTTTTGTCCCTCAGTTCTATCAAACAGCCTTTTGGAATAAAAGAGGGTAATTAGGATCACTTGGGGCCTCTTTTATTAGGCTGTTTTTTTTAATTGAACAATCTCAGTCATCCAGCTCCAGTCTGTCTCTAGAAGGACTTCCCTTGCTTTCTGGTGAACCTTTGTTTATCTCTTCTGAGAATTACTTTCCAGAAATTGACCCGCTCTTCTGGAGGATAGAGAGTATCATGTTTTTGATCTTGTTTATCTTCCATTTCTTATGCATCTTTGCATTTTTATTGTTGAGGTCCTGGGTGAGTGTGGGCACTTGTGGAAGGTGTCAGTTAGATGCAGAAGTGCTTTGGAAATTTCCATCTTTTGGGGGTACTGATAACTGAGGTTTTTTTCTTGCGTTTTTAGGAGTAAATAAGGAGGAAAGTCTTGTACATGAAGTCTCAGGTGACTTGCTTTGATAGCACTATCCATTGCCAGCAGCATGGCTTGGGTGCCCGCTGTGTTTGCAGAAGGTCAGAGCCCCTCCCCAGCCTGGGCTGGGTATATGTAGGAGACAGTAATTTTGAATGAACATGTGAATTATTACTGTGAGTTCTGTAAGATTTCATAAATCACCAAACTAGCTTGTGAGGTGCACATTGGTTTGCTTCACAGTAGAGGAGGAAGAAGCAGTGTCTTCAGGTTAGATCTTTCCTTTGTTCTCTCTTTATAATTTTAGTGGTTTAGAGGAATGTGGGTTATTTAATGTAGGCTGTCCTTCCCTTGTCTGAGAGACCTTAGGGGGATCATATTTAATCCTGATAAAGATTTCAGATGTCCCTTCAGAGTATTAACTTGTCATACTGGAAACTGATGCTCCTGTTGAGGCTCCTGACTTGTCTGGGCTAGCTAAACTGTGTTTATGTACTGTACTTTCTCTGATGGAAGGTGAGAAAATTGGAAACCCTGAACTCATTCGCCTTTTTAAATGGTTGGCTGCTGGCAAAAGCCTTTGATGTTACCAGGACTGTTCTCTATGCTGACATGAGCCAAGGAGACTTTTAGAATAATTTTTGCTTTTGATGCATTTTTTTCCCTTTTTTTTCCCCCTTTTTTTTTTTCTTCTTAATGCTGGCCCTGTGATCATTTTCTTCTGTGAACTTCAGAGTATTGGAATTTTACTGGGAATTAACTTTTCACCTGGCATTGGTGATGCTATTGAAAACGATCTAACAAGTGCATCTCTTTGAGATCTTTAGTAGACTTGGCAAAACTGCATATTTTGCTTTCCATGATGTCTGTTCTTCAGTTCAAACTTCAGCACTCATTCATAAGTCTGTCGTTTTGCACTGTTGTCTCTATGGTGGTGCAAAACAACCACACAACCGTGCAAGTCAAAGAAAGAAGACGAGCTACGTTTCTCTGTCAAAGGGAGACAAATCAGGAAGAGTCGTTATCCCTCTCCTACTTTTTTAATATCCATCATGTGAGTTAGCTGGCAAATAATAGTGCTGTTGTATATTCTTCCTAGAATTTTACCACCAATAAACTGAGACTGTTGATTAAGATGTCTGTGACATCTTAAAAACGTTTAGGTTTTGTTGCTAAAGATAGTAGCTGGAGCGTCTTATGCTAGAAAAAATTGCTTGAATTTCTGCTGATAACGCAATCTGTAGCTCAGCTGTGGAGCAACTATAGACTATGTCTAATAAGTTCATTTCCTGACTTGTCCCGAAATCTGGGTAATTTTCCTGTCTTGCACTAAGTAAAGGGAAAGAAATTATGCATCATCTGCCCTAGGACTCATGCGGAGTTCTGTTTTTAGGGCAGACATAACTTAAAAAAATATTCAAAAACATTAAAATTCTTTGCTATTAGGAGTTCTAGACCCAGAAACTAACAGGTCTCCTGCTATGAGGACAGAGGACAAAGAAATTGGTACTACCTTCAATTGAAAACATCTGGTTCTTTTCGCCTTCGTGCTCCTCAGTGTCAAGCCTGTAGAGAGGCAGAAAGCAGAGGTGTCGTGGTTTTGCCCTATAGGCAGGACAAGTAGAAAGAATGACAAAGCGTTTCTCTATATTCAGAGAGGTCGGGTTTGGCTGTTTTCAGTAAAATAGTTTACTTG